TTTGTAGTCTGTATATTTCTTTAGTTATATAACAGTAATTGAGTTCTATAAATATTATGAGTCCAGGATAGTTTGATTCACACGTTCTCTTACATTTTGTTTTATAGATTCTCTTAGTAATATTTATCTTAAGTAGTAAAATTTTACCAATGCGTGTTACTTATAAATGTTATTTTTCCAACCAAAACTACATTAATATGTGTATTTTTTCATTGTTTTCACTAATAATTATTTATACTTTTTTGTGCACAACGCACATAGGTGCAAACTACTACTATGGGTGCTATCAAGGGATCTAAGTTCAAGTCATTCTTAATTTGTACAAGAAGAATTGATCAACACTTTGTTTGACAAAAATACTTGTTTTATATAACATAAACCACATAACCCAACATAAAATAAACAGTATTCTTAAAGGCGTCATTGTCCATTACTGGGTGTACGAGAAAAAAGATATAGAAGATTGAACATAAAACAGGCAAACATACACACACGAGCAAATAGATAAATGTATCACCGTTTTAAACGTGTTCTTGCCCATTAGTGGGGGCGTTAGAAAAACTTTAAACATATTGGACTAACAATAGTTCATTTTTGAGTTATCCAAGATTAATCTGTATCGATTCTATACCTTCCGAGTCTTAACATTTTCATCAATAGAGTGTAAAACCCGATAAATTTAATTTTTTGTAAATAAGGGCAAAACGGTAATTTTGTCGCTACATTACGGGTTGGAGACCTGAATTTTTCTAGATCTCAGATGGCGAAACGAATTTCACCGTTGGATTCGTCTCGCGAAACTAGTTACCATGTCAAATTTTATCGAATTTTGAGATAGTCGAATTTTTCACGTTTTATGAGGCGACTGAGTCTCAGGTGACCCGAAAACAGGATTTTCAATAAAATTTTAAAATTTAAAAAATAATTAAAGTTAAATTAAAATAAAATTAATTTAAACTTGAACCAGAACGAAATTTATTCGTTTTGGAATGAAAACGGACCCGAAAACAAAGGGGTCATGTGGCGCGTTGTGGGCCAAGTATCCTAAGAGTATAAATAGGGGAAAAAATCAGAGTTTTTCCCCATTTCTTCAACCGGTTAACGTGAGAAGGGAAGAGAGGGAAAAAAAGGAGGAGCTCTCTACTTCTCTCTACGATCTACGACTCCACGGTGCTCAAATCCACTCGGGGTAAGAACATAAGTTGTTCTCCTCACCGAGGGCTACGCGATCACACCAAAAACGACGGGTTTCATCGAAGGTTGAAAAATGAGATTTTGGGAAAGTAAGGATTCAAGGTTGTTTTGAGTTCTTGGGGCTTCCCAACGTCATTTTACGCTTCGAGAGGTAGGGTTCTCCTACTTTGGTTCATTTTTCATTTGTAGTGTTATATGAAATGTGTGAGTTAAAAGGGAATATGTATTTCACTCATTTATGTATATGACATGGTGAAATGGGTATGAAAAACAAGTATGTAATGGGTTGGAATATAATTTTCTAGCTCGAAATTGTAATGTGAAAATTGTTTGTTTGGTAATTCCATAGGAAAAGTGATTATATGAGTATGCTATATGTTTTATATTATACTTCGTGAATGAGGTGAAAATTCTTATGTGATAATATGAATTGTTGCCTTGAAGGTGTTTGCCAAAATGTCTATATGTGGATTGAGTTGTTATGACTTGATGGTGTATAACATACTTAGAAAATGTGTTAGAAATAAATTTTAATATGTGCTCCTTGAGATATTGACATTGTGATGATTTATGGAATTCATATGCATATGATATGAATCTCCATGGAACATGTAGATATGTGGTTCAAAATTGCTCAAATGATATTCATTACATGTGGGTACGATGTTGGAATAGCAATAATTCATTACATTGCATATGCACGTAGACATCGCAATTTATGGGTGTGGGTGCATGGTTGGCATCAAACACCACGTAGGTGGATGATGGGTGGGTTCGAAAAAATTGGATTGAATGTCCGACTGAGTCGCACGGTTGCATGTAAAAACTTGGGTTGGGGTAGCAAGAAGGGTTAGACCATCCCTCGGGTGAGAGACCCGGTATTTGGATACGCACTTCCGCTAATATGAGAGCCCATAAAGTGTGTCGGTGTATGCGGAACCGTTGGTGAAAGTCCATGAATTCCGTTTCGGTTGGGTGACCGTTGGTGTAAGTCCATAAATACCCACCCCAAGAAAGACTCGAAAATTTTAGTTAGTCATTGGGTGTGTAACACAAATAGCGGCGGTTTGGAGAGTCCAATTTTGATACTCACTGTATAGCATGGGGTGAAGGTAGATAGCCGGAGCTAAAAAAGCTCGGTGTTAATACACATTGGCATGACATGTGTTGAGGAGCCGGGAAAGGCTCGGAGTTAAAATACGGGAGTGAATCTCATTTCATTCATGGCAAGTTTCATGGTAAATTCCAACATGGTTTACATAATTCTTGTTTTGGAATGGATTTTGTTTGTGTTTTGTTGCATAACACATTGCATATGCACTTAGGTGGAGAGTAGCCCTCGTAGGAAATTTTTTACTGGGTGTTGGCTCACCTTATACGGGAAAATATTTCAGGTGTAGGGTTCGTACCGGTGAAGGACTCATAGTCGGGGCCTCAAAGATGAAGAAAAACCAGTTTGTGGCTTTTGGGAAACAAGTTTTGTAAAAACCTCGTTTTGGCATTGTAAATACATGTAAATTAATTGTAATGACTTGTAAAAATGAGGGTTTATGTGAAAAACTCCATCATGCATGTTTTGGATGAAAATGAGATGGTTTGAAATGGATTGAAAATGAAAAACATGTGAAAAATGCAAAACTGGGCAAAGTATACCGGTACTGCGTACCGGTACAGTCTGTCCAAAAGGAAAAGCGTACCACTGTGTACCAGAAGGAAAAGTGTACTGGTACCGTCTCCTAAAATCTGAAATTTTTAAATTATTTTGCCATACTTTTGACCTTTTGTTTTCCTTGGTTCCAATGATACAAATGAAAATTAAATGAGGTATATTGAGGCTCATTGGACCTCCATTGAATTAAATGATTAAAGGAACACAGATGATATGTGTAAGTTATGATCCCGATTAGAGGGATGTGTTAGACGTGATGTCGAACTATGCGACCTTCACGGATATTTTCGCGGGTTGACGGATGGTCAACAGGACCCCGGTTTTAGGGGTGTCAAATAGAGACCTAGATAATGGCCCTTTTTATTATTAAAAAATGAAAAGACAAATCAAATTGGAATTGTGCCCAACACAAATTGATTTGAATATAAAATTTCAACCTCTTTTAGTTTAAGGCAGCCTAGTAAGTAACCATCATTCAGAGGTATTTGAATTTTTCTTTGAAACAATCCTTATCCGTTGAAGAATAACCAAGCAAATAAACATGCCCCCTGTTGTGAAGTATACCAATGTATTTTATCCAAACAACATGCTTTTGTGCGGATGCATTTGATTTTTTTAACCACAATGGTTTTATTTTAATTTAATTTGTTGATTTAATTCATCATAACCATTGGATTAATAATTGAGTCTTAAAAAACACTGTGTCCAACTGTCAATTCAACAGTAGTGAGAGATCAAATCAATAAATTAATTACAAATAAAATTACCCTCTCGTGATCTTGTATGGTTATACAAATTAGTGAGTCATTGTAAACATATAAAATACATTAAAACATGTGTGACATATCTATAAAGGTTTAGAACATTTTTAACAGAACATGTAAAACTCTAAAATAATTAAAATTTAACTAACCAAAGAGAAAAATCATACACCAACAGAACCTGTTCAGATATTATAAAATAATTTTTTGCTACCGTGATACTCTAGATATCGAGTATTATTGTAGTAACTTATATAAATTGTTTATAATTTTTTTCTCATTCTGTCCCTTCTGACATCTTTTGTCTACTTTTTGTCTTTCCCTTCATTATCTCTCTCAATAAAAGTACAAAATATAAGAAATAATATTTAAAAGAAGTAGTTAAAATATAGAAAATCTGTTGAAGGTTGTATAAAAATTTTGAGTAACTAAAATAAAGAATATTACTTTCTACGTAGCTAAACTAGATTTTGTTATTGGAGATGATCTTAAATTTTAGTATCAGGAGAAAATTTTTTTGGATATCGTACCTCCTTTTTTTATTATTTTAATATTTTATTTTGTTCTATTATTGCAATGGTCAATGACCACGACTAATTCAATTCAAGCTTTGCCGTTCAAATTCAAATTTTGTTGGTGACATAATGTTATTTATAATAGAAAATAAGATAAATTTTAATAAATTTATTTGACGGTTTCAAATAAATTCATTTAACGACCATCAATATTTTTTTTAAATCATTAATATTGTACTGTGTCTTCGGATAAACCTTACCCCTAGTCCTTCTCTAAATTATTGTCTTAATATTCCCACAAAATATATGTACATAAACGCGGAGTAGACAACGATGAAAAAATGCAAGCCAAGCCGACCTTGTTTCTAATCTCTTCAGCCGACATTATTGTTCAATATAATAGTATATGGATAACGTGGAAAATGTTTGAAAACGTGACAGGAAAGCAAACCCATGCCACTTGTAATAGGAGTCGGCTATTTATATATATATATAGAGAGAGAGAGAGAGAGAGAGTGGGGTCAATATGTGACTTCTACCCAATTGCAACCATACGTCCAAGCTGATGTACATATACTTAATTTCTTTTCTTCTCTCCTCTCTTCTTTCCTCAAGGTGGGCTTGACTTTGACAAATGGCTAAAGAATTTCGAGATTTCAACTCAACCGACAGGAAGAGAGACAATTAACTTTTCTATTAGAATCAACGACTTCTACCAAATTGCTCTTTTCTCATAAATTAATTCAATAAAAAAGGCTCCTCATTGAGACAACTGTCAGTGGCAAAGTTTTCTTGACCTTCCTAGTTCCTTCACCTTGCAAACACAGCTAGCTTCGACTTTATCTCTCTCTCTCTCTCTACCTCTATCTCTGTCTATATATACTCGGCTGTTCTTGGGTTCAGGAAAGACTTTAGATCAGACCATTTTGAGAGGCCTGTGTTTGAAGAAGCTGTGTTCAATTCAATTCTTGGTAGAGAATAGTTCAGTAAGAGAAAAGAAGAAGAAGAAGATTGTTTTTGAAGGGCTATGGAATATACTAGTCTTGTTGATTCTTCGTTGGATCTTAATGCCTATCCTCTTAGACTTTTCGATGAAGCTCCGGTAAGTGAAGACCTATCTTCTGGTTCTAATTCATGGGATAGAGGCTCTAGTTGTTTACTATAGTCTTGATTGAGTTCTAAATTTACATGTTTTTTTTGTTTGTTTGCTTGCTTTCAGAAACAAGAGGTGAAATGCAATTTCTTTGAGTTGGGATTGGGAAGGAAGAAGTCAGAGAAAGCAGAGGTGAGTGTTTTGAACATACTTAAACCATAGATTATCTTGGGGGTTATATGCCTGCTAAGAATGATTAGATTTTGGGGTTCTAAAGTTGAATTTTTTTGGGGGGTTTTCAGACTGGTGCTTTAATGGAGGAACTGAATCGGGTGAGTGCCGAAAACAAGAAGCTAACAGAAATGCTGACAGTGGTGTGTGAGAATTACGAAGCTTTGAAAAGTCGTTTGATGAATTATACGAGCAAAAATTCAGGAACTGATCAGATCAGTACCACATCGAGGAAGAGAAAGGCTGAAAGCCCCACCAACCACTACAACAATGGCGTTATTGATGGGACTAATGGAAATTCAGAGAGCAGCTTAAGTGATGAAGAATCTTCTAAGAAACCGAGGGAAGAACACATCAAAGCAACCATTTCAAGGGTCTGTGTTCGAACTGAAGCATCCGATACAAGCCTTGTAAGTCCTTAGCTCTTTGTACTTTACAAACCATTATTTGAAGGTTAAAAATGAATAATTCCGAAACCCGTGTTGTTAGATTAAATGGTCGAATAAGGAATAAGGCATGAATTTACACGTTGTGAGGTCAAATTCTCTAGTTGCATAAAATCCGGGTTTAATCAATCCTTGTGGTTAATGGTAGATTGTATGCATATAAGAGATGTACGTTGCAGCCATGAATCTAATTGACGTCTGATTCGTGGTTAATGAAATTATAAGAGCTCTTGATTTGAGGTGTTAAACAAGATTTTGTTCCTAATACTGAGCAATTTTGTGTGCATTACAGTTAGTGAAGGATGGATATCAATGGAGGAAGTATGGCCAAAAGGTCACCAGAGACAACCCTTGTCCCAGAGCTTACTTCAAATGCTCTTTTGCTCCTAGCTGCCCTGTCAAAAAGAAGGTGAGCCAAATTCTAAGCTTCACCTATCAGTCCTTAAAGATACTTGATACTCCAGATGAATTCCTAGATTTAGGTCTTGTACTTAAATCGAACGATGGGTGTTAGCATTCTGATCTTATTTGTTCCCATTTCTGTCTTTCTTCAGGTTCAAAGAAGTGTTGAAGATCAGTCCATACTTGTAGCAACATATGAAGGGGAGCACAACCACCTACACCCCTTAAAACATGAGGCCTCTTCGGCCTCCAATCGCTGCGTGACACTTGGCTCAGTTCCTTGCTCAGCCTCTCTCAGCTCATCAGGACCCACCATTACTCTTGATCTAACAAATCCCAGACCTAATGATGATGCCAAAGTTGCTAACCCCAGAACTGATTCACCAAAACTTCAACAGTCTTTGGTGGAACAAATGGCCTCTTCATTGACCAAAGATCCTGGCTTCAAAGCAGCACTTGCAGCTGCTATTTCAGGAAGAATTATCCAAAATAAACAGGAGAATTGGTGAAAAACCATGGAGAGGGCTTGAGATTGAAGCGAAGTTATTCGTGTAAATACAACATTGAAGGAGGAACAGAGACGAGGGGACACTTTTCAGTGTGGTTGAAATTGGACGGGTTAAACCTGTTACCAAACAAAACCCAGACCCAAAAGCAAACTCACTCCAACCATTGGGCAATTGGGCATATGGTGGTTGAGAGTCTTGAGACCATAGAAGGAGGTGCCTAGTTGAGGCCTCAGATGACAGATTCACTGCTATGTTCCCCTTTCTACGTCAATTGTTCATATATTTTAGTGCTCTCTTTCTTTCTCTCTCTCTCTCTCTCTGTTTGTGTGTGTGATTAAAAGAACACAGAATATTTAAGGCCTTAACAAAATTCGCATCTGTAGACAGAGAACCATTTCTGCACCACCCATTGAAGCAATACTAGTTAGATGATCATACCTACGTCTTCTACAGAGGTGTTAAAACTTGCATAATCACCTGCCCGGTATCTGCACCAGCCAGGGATCAAGAAAACACAAACATCATCCACAACATGATAATGGTGAAAGGGCCAATGATCGAGGTTCATATTGTTTAAAGATAATTAAAAAATGCCGAGGCCAAAAATGGTTAGATCACGCCATCACTGTACAGAAGAGGCTTAATATCCATCTCAAAGCATAGTAAGCACCTTGTACACATCTTGGCATGCCAAATTCTGTTCTGAGATCTACAAAGTGTTGAAAAAATAAATTCATAATTGTTTGTACACAACTTCTCGTCCCCAACTACCCATTGCAGGACAGGGTGACAGAGCACCCTTTCATAGTGTAAATTACAACGCATGGACAGAAGTCCTTAACAAATTACTCCGTGGGTAAACTCAAACCCTCAATAGCTCCTGCTAATCCAAACTCAATTGCCTCAGGTTGCTTCCCTTGGACCTTAGTCTTGAGGTTGTCATCTTTATCCCTAGCCTCTCCTGCAGCTATGCACTCCTGAAATCTGAAGCAGCTGATCAGATGATCGTTAGTCATTCCAGCCACTTGCATGAATGTGTAGACAACTGTTTGCCCCACGCCTCGGAACCCTCTTTTCACGAGATCTTTGCTTATCGCATCTGCTTTCGATGTCTTAATTGGGACCTGCCGTGGATAACGGAAATGACTAACTATAGGCTTATGGTTTACAAATCCCCATATGTATTTGCCAAAAGACCCAAACTCATCTATTATCTGCATCATCATCACATCAAAAAGAGAAAAAGTAAATCAGACTGAATGGCTTGTGTATATCCGCGGCATATGGCTCTTAATTAATCATCTACTAATATAGCATAAATTCCTCGCCCATTGTATTTATCCATTTGCGAGTCTGTGGCGACCCCAATGAATAATTCTACAAAAACCAAAAAGTCATTAGACTTTTCTTCTTTCATTGGATGCTAATAACAGACCAATATCATGTTTCTCCAGAAATCAAAACCTAAGATTATATTTAACTTCTGTGTGTACGATGGAACTATGGGCTGTGATACACTGATCCTTTTTCTATTGAGTAAACACAGCCATACAATCAGTTCATTTTAATACACGAGATATTAAAACCTAGAACAATTAGCATTTCAATAGATGGGGATCAGCAATTTCACCATTTTATCATGGACTTCACGTACCTTAAACATACAAAAACAAATCTTCATGAGACCACAATAAGCAACATTTTAGTTTAGCAAGATGAATAATGCAATTAAAAATAACAAGATCAGCACATACCTTGCAAATTTGACGTGCATTTTCGATGATACCTCGAAGCTTAAGCTCTGATAAAAGAGAGCTGGCAGCACTTCCTGGTGTAACTATCTTCTTCTCATTTAATTTTGAGACAGCAACTGGATCAAAGTCCTGAAAGACTTCTCTGCATACCAATACACAATACTTTGAATGAGCAAGGATCCCATCAATTGTCAGGTCAACCATCTGAAGGTTGCACTTATTTTCTGATTGCAATAGATTAGGGCAGATACTATGATTTGGTACCTAAATAAGCGCCTTTTATTAAGAATTGCCGGCCATGTAAGTTCAGCCAAAGCAGTGGATAAGCTGAGCAATTCGAACAGTTTCCTGCAAGTTATCTAGGAAAATCAGAGGCTTACCGAGAAGGCCACCAAATGAAGTCATGTAAAGTAATAGGAAGTTACAAAACGAATGGAAGATAATGTCATGAGGCTACATACTTGTCATTGTGGACTGGAACTCCCCATTCTTCGTCATGGAAAGCAGCATAACATAAATCTTTTAAAAAAATGAAAACCAATTAGCCGATGGTATCTCATAAAAAGATAATTTCATAAACTCATGAACACACGAGGTCTGACACATACTCCACAGCTTCAGAGAATGCAGTATCCGATACATCCAAGACATAATCATGATCAATTTGGTGAAACTTCCCACCAACAAAAATGTTTTCCATGGAGTTTAAGAAGCTTTAACATCCAATCCATTTAGGATACAACCACATTTTTGTTAAAAAAAATTGTTAAAAAAGATGAGGCACCTAAAATATAAAAGAAAGCGGTCTTGCTAGCCACCACACTATATGCAGTCATAATACCATCGAAATGAGTTTTTGATTTACTCCACTATTGATAAGGGGTTATCATCCTCTTTTTATAATGGCCTGACTCGTTATCTTTACGATAAGTTCTAACATTCTTTCCAATTCAAATGAAGTAATACTTATGGGATGCCACTCCCATGTGATTGATGAGTATTATTCACAAGGGATATCTGTAATATCTTATTATCCAGAATAAGGACACTATGGAGGTAATGTCTAAGCCAGGAGATCAAATCAATGGTAGACTTTTTTTTTTGGTCAAACACACACAGAACCACACATCACACAATGATGGTGGTAGTGGTGGTGGCGGTGACACAATTGTAGTGATGGTGGCGGCACAATGGCGGTGGTGGTGGATGGTGGGCATTGAAAATTTGAAAGTGTAAAATGTATTGAGGGTATATTTGTCTATTACGAGGAATTGATATAATCGATGGTAGACTTCATTTGTCCGATTTTAATAGTATTTTTTTTATTGAAAAGTACTAATTGTAGTAATTAGTTAAATGAAATTGAATTGAAAATAAATGAGATAAAATGCAGCTGGTGCAAAAGAGCTTTGCCCGTAAAACTCCAATTTCCTATAAACTCATCCCAAAAATAAGATTTGGACACTGTTTCTTTGAACATGTAAAGGGGCATATACACATCGTCAAAGTGGTGCCTTTTTGTTCATATACAAGACATAGTGCATGTTCAGCGACCACTTTGTCCTTTTACAATGCCCACCTCTACAACATCCTATAAGCTCCACCAACACACTTGGCGTGGACCATAGCAGCCTAAACAGAGAAAACATTCTCATAGTCTCTAGCTACCAAGATGCAAATCCAGCTTGTCCTCTACTCAAGGGCCACTATTAAGCAACACTTGCTACTAGTGTGGCCCATTACAATTTTTCACAAGTTTAGTACGGTTTTCTTACTTTTAAACAAGGCACTAAAGCACAATATCACCGTAATTTATAAGAAAACCTCTGGGTTCCGCAATTTCATCATAATGTAACCTCTCTTTCAAACACTATTGCTCTTGTAACCTCAATAGCCGCGATTCAAACATTCTCACACACATCATTCGCAGACAGACATATATAAATATACACTCCTATGCTACATAGATCGAGATTATAAGTGTACATTGTGAGCTCAAGTCAGAAAATCAAACATACCAGTATTTGGCGTTACCCAAGCACACCTCTTCTTAACTGCTGCACCATCAGCAGAACCCACTGATACAGTATCAATATCAGTATTGACTTTCTCATTCTTTATACCGCATTGATTCCTCCGAATCTGCTTCAGCGTCCGACTGATCTTCCCCGTCGACGCCCGACTTTGCGATGAATCGGATGACGCGTCCGACGAACACGACGCATTCAGAGACAAATTCGACCTCAAAAGCTTATGGTCCTGCTGCTTCAAAACCGACTGCACAGTCAAATAGTTCTTGGGCAATGGGGTTGAATTTGGTGATGATGGAGCTTTCTTTGCCCTGGCTTCATCGATTTCCTGGGGCTTCTCAACATTACTCTTCGGTTTTGACCCCGGCTTTCGCAATTCCACCGATCTCGCCTTGTTACCGGCCGGTACAAGCACCGGTCGGGTCTCTGAGTCAGCAGCACAGTTCATCGATTTCACTCGCGGTCCTGACATTGAAGCAGTTCCACTGTATTTGCCCCAAATGTGAACAAAACTTAGGGTTAGTCGGTCAGTGACTAACCTAGGGCTAGAACATTGATAGAACAGACAGATTGAAGAAGATGTGGAGGTGCATTGCGCAAATATGTGTTGGGAGTGTATGGAAAATCGAAACCCTGGAGAGTGGTGAAGGTGGGAGAGATGGAAATTGAAGATGTGGTTACGGAAAAAACCCTAGTAGCGACAGAGATGTGGTAGTGCATTGGCGACGATGGAGCTCAGTAGTAGGAGTTTTGGTTGTTCGAAGTGGAAAATTGATGTACAACTTTTGGAAACTTGTGGCAGCTTGATCATTGAAGAACATAAATCAACGACGGCCAGTCATGGATGTTTCGAGAGAGAGACAGAGACAGAGAGACTGCTTGAGAGAGTAAAGTCACCGGTGATAGATTGCCACGTCAGAATTTAGATATTTTTTTGAGGCTAATCTCAAAATGCATCCGAAAAAAGATTCAAATCTCATCCTCAAAATTTAAAAATATTAATTTATGTCCCAAAAGACATAAATTTATATCAATATGCACCTAGATTAACTATCATCTATTTTGTCGTTAAAACAATTTGGACTAATTATAAATCGCACCTTCAAATTTAAATATTTGACATTTATAATCCAAAAAAAATTTCATTCATTAATACTCATTAAATATCTCTCATTAATATTTTTTATTTTCTTGTTGAGTCAACTGCATTGTGTCGTATATTTTACATTTATAATAATTCATATAATATTATTTAAAAAGAATAAAATATCTATTTTTTGTCTATAATAATCATTAAATAGTTATTTTTCTTTCTAAAGTTAGACTCGACACGACACGACACGACATAATGAGAATTATTTAACTAACATTAATGGACGTAATTCTTTTTAGATCATAAATATAATATATTTAAACTTTGAGGGTACAATTTATAATTAATCCAAACTTTTTGTATGACAAAATGAACGGCAGTTAACTTTAGGTACATATTGATACGAATTTTTCAGGGTGTAAATTAATATTTTAAAATTTTGAGGGTGTAAATAAATTTCAAGTGATCTTTCGAATTTATATCTTTCAGGGCGTAAATTAATATTTTAAAATTTTTAGGATATAAATATAATTTTAAGTGATCTTTCAAGGTGCAAGTTAAAATTAATTTTTTTTTTTTTTTGGTATATTCACTCATCTCAGCGTGCCGGAATGCGATGTCGGTCGGAGTGGGAAGAGATCAATAGCGGTGTATCTAAATTGGGCCAACTGTGTATCTAAATTGGGCCAACCATTTCTAATTGTTAAACCAAAATATATAACTTTTTGATCCATTAAATATCATTTCTTTCTCTCCTCCATGTCAAACAAATCAGGTTGAATTTGGATTTTGATTGATCTAAATTCGATTTTAAAAGGGCTATCTCAATTTAATTATATTATTTAACAAGTTTTATTTTAGTGATTCATATTCTGTATTTGTTAAAAAATTGCAAATCCGAGGCAAAAATTTAATCTGATCTAAATAACTTAATTTAACTAGGTTTTAACAAATTATATTCAAATTTTAATTAAATATTTCGAATGAGATCATAATCGAATTATCAGTAAAAAATTCAATCTATATTTAAATAATCAAAATCTGATTCATTGACATGTTTACTTATCATAATCTTTTATGAATATTACACTTGAAACTTTTAAATTTTTTTTTTTGAGAGAATTATGCTCAAATTTTTTTAGATTTGTCATTTAATCACTCAAACCCCCTGACATTTAAAATATTACACACAGAACACCCTAATATTGGTACGCGCGTAGCACTTAAACTCCTAACGTCAATATC